CTCGGTCCCTCCCCTTCCTGCCGGGGCCCAGCCGGGACGGGGGAACCAGGGGGGCCGCGGGTCCGGGGTGAGGAGGCGGGGAGGGGACGGGGAGCCTGTGGTAGGAGGGTGCTCAGCTGGAGCGAGAGTGGCTTTTCTTTAAAATAGCGCTGTTTGGGGGGGTGGGGGGAAGAGTGTGCAGACTTTCTCCTCCTCAGGAAAGTCATTCCCGTGGGGAGAGCGTTTGGGTGTCGACAGCCGACCCTCGGCGGCTCCAGGCTCCGTGGCAGCCCCCAGCGAGGATTTTGCCCTTTCCCCGGGATGGAGCCGGGCGGAGGATGCTTGGAGCTGCTCCAACACGCGGCTCCTCTGCCAGCTTCACTCCAAATTGGGCACCCTGTTCCTATGACAGCCTCCTTCCCCAGTTTTTGTATCCAGGCTCCTCCACCAGCCTCTGGCTCCTCTAGAGCTGTTCCAGCCCAGCTTCCCGGCTGGCTCCAGCCTTGGCCATCACCTTGGCGTGAGCTCGTTCCCACCACACAAACACGCTTGTTTGGGAAGTTGGCCGCGCATCCCGTAGGTTGGTGCGGTGTTAACCCCCACATCCATGGGGGTTTGTTGCAGGCCAGGTTGTAAAATAGAAAACACAGGTGTTGCGTGCAGGAATGGGCACAGTTTGACAAGTTTGTCTTGCCAGGTTGTGTGCAGTAAAAGAAGTCGGTGTTTGGGGTGTTCTGTGCCAGGGAGCCGCAGGCTCAGGCTGGATGGGTGGAACAGCTGTTGGGATGAGTTGCACTGCTCTGAAGGGGGAACAGAAGCAGCTCTGAACACGTTCTTGGATCAGGAGGCCCTGTCTATTAGGAGGAGAAAGGAAAAGCGTCCCAGTCTTTAGGGAATGCTCATCTCCTGCTTCTTGGGGAAGGAGCAGTAGGACTAATCCGCGTGGGAAGTGGTAAGAAGCCTGTAAACCAAATTAGTGCCTCCACCCTCTGCTGTCAGGTGAGGTCTCCCCTGGAGGTCTTGGGAAGTGGCTTTTTTTCTGCAGACAGAGAGGGAATGTTCAGATTGTGGATAAACGAGGTTCACATTTTTATTTTTTTTTTAATAGAATTTAAAGGTTTAATAGAAAGATGATTAGGAGATAAAGTATACAGATACAGCCAGGTGTCTCTGCATTCAGCCAATTCACACCTTACTAACAAAGGATTACACCTTAAAAACAGAATCCTACTACATATTCATAAATTCTCATACATGGTTCAAACACTCTCCTTAAGTTTTGGATGTTTCTTTGTTTAGTTTTTGACTCACCCCCTTCTCAATAGATCAATCTTCTTGGCTCCACCGAGTTTCATATTCCTTGATAACAGAAATGCAATAAATTCCTCCCCCAGAGCTCTGGTTACTGCTGTCCTCATCTGGACAAGATAATCTAAGAATGGGGGGGGTCTCCAGCCATCTCCTCTAGTCCCTGGGTTATACAAAAGTAGTCCCCACTCCAATACCATGTCATAGCTCAACACATATGTTTATTACACTACCATTTCTAAGCTTCATCAACAACAGAAATAGAAGGAACCACACTAATACAACAAAGTTTTCTAACCTTATACATGTAACATTCATTACAATATTTGCTAAAAGCCAGCATATAATATGTATCTATAACAAGATGGATCTGCCTGAGGCCAGCCCTGCTTTTCCTTTCTGATTAGATCCGTGCAGGTTTATGGCTAACTCTGAAGTGTTTCAGCCTGTGACACCCAGGCAAGGTGCTCCAGAGGAGGTGGAGGCGAGGGCCATGTTTAAAATGCAAAGCTTCTAGACGGGGCTGTTGTGTGCAGGTTTACCTGGGGTCACTCCGGCAGCCCCAGCAAGTTGTGCCGCAGGCAGCAGACCCTCCCTGCTGGCAGAGGGCTCCAGGGAACCCTCAGGAAGCGTCACCCATCTCACTGCGACGTGCCTGATGACAAGCAGCTGGAGCTGATGGTAATTGGAGTAGTGGAGCAGGGCAGTAACACATGAAAGCCTTGGTGATGTCAGCCTGCATCACGCTGGGCATTCAGGGTTCTGCTGACCCAGGAGCACATCACCCATTCCAGCTCTGCCAGTAGGTTCAGTCTATAAATGAGGTTTGAATGCTGCTGTGGGAAGGAGGGGAGCTGTTCAGACATTTGCCCCAGTTCCTGCAGTTGTTGCAGTGCTTTGTAAGCTGGCTGGGCTCCATCCAGCCTTGCATGGAAATCTTGCTTTAGGGCCGAGGGCTTGGCATTGTTGCATAGAATGCTCCTCTAGCTTGCCACTGCTTCAAGAAACCATTGATTATTGGCAATTTCTCCCTAAGTTTATTTTTAACTACTTGAGAGTACTTTTATATGTAAAGGATGTAGACAGCACATATTTACCTGGGGACAAAAAAGCAGGTTCTTGTTTGTCTGACAGAAGGAGAGTCAGCTGATGAGTGCCTGAGTCAGCTTTTTAAATACTGCAGGCCTAAACACCACTCCAACAGTTTACTCATTTCGGTAAAGATTTGGGTATTTGAGTGGAGCAGTCACTAGTAATTATCCAAGTCAGTCTGACGCTTATTATCTTTAATTATGGAAAAATAAGTTTTCCTTGCAGCTTGCAACAGCGTACAAGTGTGTGGTATCAAAATCACACTGTGTTTTCTGTCACAGTTTCTACTTATTCCTTCAGAATGTCTGCAAGTGAACAAATCCACTGAGCCTTGCTGAGATTTTACCTGATATTACCCATGGAGTTCTTCACTTCAGAAACAGATGCAAGAAGTGATGGATGGCACAAAAAAATCAGCTTTTTCAATGTTTATTGGCTGGAAAAAGAGCAGGTGACCACATCAGGAACACACAGGTTGTTTTTTACTGCAGTGATGTGAACAAGTATTGAAAAAGAGTTTGTGTGCTTTTAATAGTCATGGATGCATTTCCATGTAATTCAAGGTATTAGGATTCTAAAATTGGAATGGAGAATCACAGACTCATTTTCCCCATCATGCCTCATCTCCAAAGGGCACCAGTTGACGTCAAATGCTTCCCAATAAAAAGGTGCTCAAAATTCTGGCAGGATGGGATGAAATTTTTGCCAAGCATACATATTTTATTAATATAACTTGCATAATGGTATGACTGCAAGCTTATGAGTCATTCTCAAAATCTACAAAATAAAGTACAAAATCTCTTGTGTAACTGGATTTTTTTATCTAGGGTAGTTTAAAAGAAGTCTTAGTATAAAAACTAATTAAACAAATAGGTTTTAAACATTTCTTTCTTCCTCTTCCTGTGATTTACAAAGAAGCTCATTGCATTTGTTCTCTTGTCTTCCTTTGAAACCCAAAATGATCAGGATTTACTTTTTTTTTTTTTTGTCTTTTTAATTTGATGCGTTCAGTCTCACCCTGTTTTATCACACCACAATAACAAAGACAGACAAGTACATTTCATTTCTTCTTCTACTGTTTCTGTTCACAGCATGTTCAGTAAATGGAAATTGAAATTTTAAGTCTTGGAAGTTTTGTTTGTTGATAAGCCTAGTTTGATGACATTCTTGCTCTAGAAAGCAATAATACCAATCCTTACTATTGAAAAGAAAGGTTTCTTTCTTTATCTATGGATACATATATTTTTGCATGTTATGAACATCTTTTATCATATCATTTGTTTGTCCTCTTCTAGTTTAGTGCAGTCTGAAGATTTCATGATGGACTCCATCCCACTGCTGAGTGGAGATTTCTTCTCCTCAGACAGAAGACATAAATTTGACACCAACCAAGAGAAAATTAGAGACTCCCTTGAGGTTTGGTATTTTTTGATTCCCTAAATACTGAGATGAACTTTAATTAAAAACCAAAATAATTTCTAAACTAATCTTGAATAATTTCTGGAGATGTATTTGGGTGATATGTATGAAAATTTTTATCTATCCAAATTTTCTCCTTTGTTACACTGAAATGCAGCAAATCCCAAAGTTTAGTACAATGTATCACATGCAACCAGGAGGGGAAAAAATTAAAATTGTACCCTTCACCATTCAGGACTGTATTCCACCCACGTGTGTTTGGTCCTGTGTCCCTCCCCAATTTCTGCTGGGGAAGCTGAAGGATGCTGTCATTCTGGGAGTCAGAAGAAGTTCAAGATAATTGACTTGAAAACCTCACTATAAATTAAGCTTTTACCAGACCACAGGCATTTTTCTGTGCTAGATACAGATCCAGATGAGGTTGTGACCCCAAATTGAGTCCAAAAGGAAGAGCAGCAGAATGAGTGAGGCGTTGCCCCAGTGAATGTCAAACATTGCAGCTATGTAGGAGTGGCCAGCCTGCAGCTCACATCTGCTGGTTTTATCTGCAAAGAACTTTCCCAAGATGAGGTACCTACTCCCCAGTGTAAATTGAGTTATGAAAATGCAGGAAAATATATGAACTAGGCCTCACTGATTTTTATTAGTCTGAGTTGTAAAGATTTACACATATGAAAATGACAATACCTTTCATCTTGGATGCTTAAACTGCAGGGTTGGAATAGTCTGTAGGTAGAAATTGCAGATTGGTGAGTTCTGTGATAGGTAAGACAAAAAGCCTTGTGTATTTAGAAATATACTTTAAACGCTTTATACACTAGGATTTCAAAATCAGTAGAAATCCATGCTAACAAAGTAAAACACATATCTTTTAAGTACAGCTTACACTGTCAATATGCAGATTTTTGGAAAATGCTTTGAACTGTGCCATAAAATCCATGCAAGAGATTAAAAATTCCATGTACTCCTTGGACACTTTCTCATGTAGTCTCCATTTGCTACAGAAAAAGTGATTTGCTTGAGACTGATAGCATTCCCTCCAGTGCCAAAGTGCACTTATCCTTAATCATCAAGGTGAACAATGCTTCCCTCAGGGCACTACCTTTCTTCAGGTGAAATTAATCCTGAGATTCTTGGTATTAAGAGGCTCCCCAGAGGAAGGGTTGTGGAAAAAAGTTGTGGTTTTCTGAAATGCATCTGGTAAAAGAAGTTAAAAATTGTCTGCTTTGGTTTGCAAAGATGCAGTGTGTGACTTTTGATACCAGAGTGATGAAGGAAATGTCATCACATCCCTGCTTATATTTTGGTTTGTCTTTTCTTTTTCTCACTGTCTAACCCATGCACAGATACACATGCAATCAAGGTTGAAAAAGTTTATAACTAATCCAAGAGCAAATTAAAGCTAATTCTCAACTACTTTAGAAATAGTGTGCATATGTATTTGTACATCCATAAATACCTTGCAACTGTTTTGTACAAGATGTAATGCACTGTACCACTAGGCAATGTTACCATGATTCACAGGTAGAAAAAAAGACTAATGATTAAACACTGAAGAAGAATAACTCAAAACAGCACTGATAGGTATAATAAATTTGCAGTGAAATCACACAACAAAAATGTTAGCGTAAGGTAGAATTTTGACAGAAACCATGGAGATCATCTAGGGCTAGGAATGTGAGGGAAAAAACTCTTCCACCTGCCTCCACTCAGCTTTTGCAAGGGTTATCCAGGGCAGCACCCTGTAGCTAGATATCATCTGTAGCTGTCAGTGACAAGCAGCACGGAGTGACCATGATCCTGTAATAAAAAAAAAAAAAAGAAAAAAAAAAAGAAAAAAAAGACTTTGCAGCTGCTCTGTGGGGGTTTTCAGGACTGTGCTTCTGGGAGAGAACTGGACAGTGCTAGTTGTTATAAAACAAAAAATGCTCTTTTGCCAGGGCTGCAAAATATCTCTTGCTTTCTCCTAGGGTTTGAAAATTCTTCCCTGATCCTTGGTTGTTTGGGGAGTGGTGTTGCCTAGAGCAGGGGTGGAGCTCCCAGCCCTTGAGGGATTTAAAAGGCATATAAATGTGACACTTGGGGACCTGGTTTGGTATTGGCTTTGGTGGTGCTGGGTTAACAGTTGGTATCGATGATCTCAGGGGTGTTTTCCAACTTAAATTATTTTGTGATTCTGTGATTCTTCTTGTATTCTTTCAGTAGCTGACTGTGAAACAAAATGTCAGTAATTACAAGAGTACTTCCATAGTGTTTCCTTCTGCACTTGTGACAGGGTATGAAAATAAAAAAAACCCTGGCAAACAAGAAATTCCTGTTGAGAGGCAGGGAAATGACCATGCTGGGTTCTGTCTGCTCAATAATTGCGGATTGGCTGGATGGGAGTTAGTGGATGTGGAGCATTTATCAGCCTTGTTAGCATCTGGTTCATCCTGTGTTTAACTTGGTTAACTAGTGCCTCATCTGAAAGTGACATTAATATGTTAAAAGCTGCATTAATATTAACAACCATGTATCTGCTTACAGCCTGCCTCCTTGTGGATTATATCCACTGCCCTGACATTATTTCCCTCTTCATGTTTTCTCAGTTGCATAGATCGAGTTCTTTTCTATCATTGGCATGATGGGTTCCCTTACAGATAAAGTTTCACAGGTCTTTTCTTAGGATAATACCACACTTGGTGTCTCTGAAGAAGCACAGCTTCCAATCAGAACAACACACAGGAAGCCAAACTAAGGACAGGGAGGCACAGGAATATTTTATGGGAAATTGCAACACAGCTTCGCAGTAAATTTTTTCTTGTTTCAGAAACGCATGGAAACGTGGAGCTGGTATTGCTTGGAAAGGAAACATGGGTAGCATGGAAAATATTTTACAACAACGTTTTACAGCTCTGTATTGCTCTGAAGGCAGCCGACGTTTTTCCTAGTTAAAAAAAAAAAAAAAGCAAGCAGATTGAAGGGGCATTGAGGTCAACCTGGATATGTGAACACCAGGGCCACAGCACTCAGCACAGCTCAGCTGGGTGAAAGGCTCTGCCACGCGTTGCCCGAGGACATCCCTGCTTGCAGCAGCTCCCCTTCCTGCTCATGCCCCTCTGAAATCAGACATATGGCATTAATGGAGCCAAAGCATGGATAGCTTCCACTCAGCACACACTGCTTTCCCCTGGGAGCAGTCCTCAGTTCCTCCTTTCTCTTTTAATCTGCCGGCTTTGTGTTTGCCCCGAGATGTGCGCTGGGGCAGCCCTGCACGGCAAAACCTGTTTCTGTGGGTGTTGAGGAGCAAGCGAGAGCACAGGAGTGCAGAGAACTTGATTTGCAGTGAAACCACTTGGTAGAGCAACCCAGCACGATTTGAATGCGGCTGACGTGCAAATCATTATAAGCTGTGACAGAGAATGGTTTGTTTTTTTTTTTTGCATATCACAAACCCACAAATCCGTCGCATCTATGCAGATCCACATACTGCTTCTCCGAGGCAGGCTGATGGGGCCAGACAGTCCTGTGAGCTGAGGTGATGCTCTGTGGGCAGGGGGGACCACCCCAGAGCTGCCTGGGGGTGTCTAGTGCCCTGTGCCGAGCTGTGTAGGTGACAAAACTCCATCTGCAGACGACATCCATTTGCGCCAGCAGCGTTCCGCAAATGTGGGCGGGTGGCAAATGTAGGGAGGGCAGTTCTGGGGGAACTTCGGTTTTGTGCACATCAGCCCCAAATGTTGCAAAATCCCAAGTAACTGAAGCTACCGCAGAGCGGGAGAGGAGTGACAGGAAATCCTCCTCTTGAGGAAATGAATTTGTTTGGTGTGGGGTGGCTTGTGGTGGCACTGAATGGGACAAACACACCGTGCCCAGGCTGATGCTGCCGGAGCCACCCCTGCTCATGGGGATGCTGTGCTCTGCCCTCGCACCAGCAGAGCACCCCTAGCCCACGTCCAAATTCCCAGGCTGCTTCTGGAGGAGGAGCAGAGAAGCTCCCTGGCAGGGGAGGGGGGCTGGGAGGTGGATGACACCCCTCACCCCATGCCTGCTCCCCTCGCAGCTCTGCTGTGACTCACCCCAGTCAGCTCTGTGACAGATCTGTCCTGCTTTGCTCTCCTGAGGCACCAGGTCAGCGGCACTGCAGCTTTGGGGTGGAGTAATAAGCTAAATAATTAATGTGCAATTATTAAATGTGGCAAACGTGACAGCCTCGAGTGAGAATATAAATTCATTCTGCTGTTTTAGACACTGAAAATAGATATTTTTGCAAATAACACGGTATGAGTGCAAGTGCCCACCTACTAGGGACACCAGAAAGTCAAAATCCTCCTCCACCCCTGCGAATTTGCCGCAGCTGGAGGAAATGTGGTCACTTGTTCTTGCCAGGAGCCAGCTTCAAACCTCACTGCAAAGATTGGCTTTCCACTGCCACTCAGTGAGTTTTAGGTCGACTCCAAAAACCTTTATCTCTGCAACAGTAGAGTGTGGAAACAGTACTTTGCATGAGCCAGATTAAGATACCTGAACCTGTGAAAATTCCCTTTCCCACTGTAGGGGGGGAAAAAAATAAAATATGGATAAATCATGATAGCAAGGTTATGCTTTTAAAAAAGACTCCCCCAAAGCTCTGCCAGCACTGTGTAATAACCGATCCTTTTAATCCCCAAACCCGCTGCCAGTGGTTGCAAGAGGGCTGGTAATTTGTGAAGAACAAGGAGTTTAAAGGGTTCAGTGCCAGCTTGCCTGTGTCTGTGCGGGGATGTTTCCTCCGCATCCTCTGCCCCGGCTGCCGAGCCGTGCGGCGAGAGCCGGGGGATCGCCTTCGCATTCCGGGGAGACGATCCCTAGGGAGCCCCCACGCCTCTGGGGAAGGGAAATATTAAAACAAGCTCTAAAGGGAATTCCACGGCGCTGTGGGAGGGCTCGGGGAGATGATGGCAGCGGTCTGAGGCGGGGAGCAGCCCTTGGCCTGGACCAGGGTTTATTTCTGGGGTCAGGCGCCCTGTCCCCGGGGCTGGACCGAGTGGGTGCTTGGCTGCCGGATGGTTTTCCTCCCTCTGACCGCAATCCTGCCGCTCCCCGCTGCTGCTCACTGTCTGCCGTGTTTACAGAGCAGCTCTTTATGGATGCACAAGGCGTGACTCACCCGCAGCAGTGCCCGGACTGCGGAGGAGCCAGGTTGTTAAAGCTGAAACTTTGCTTTCCCTGCTTTCCTGACTCTGCAGAGGAGCCGGGCTCCGTGGCACAGACCTGTTGACAAGACTGTGTTTGTACTCTTCGGTTTCCTTGTTTGTCTTGCCAGAAATCCTGTGCGGGAATGTTCTTAAGAGTCATTCTAACTCGGATTTGAATTTCTGAGCAGAGAAACGACGTGTTTGGGACAAGTTGGGCACTGCTGTGCTTGTGCTGTTGGGAGAGTCTCCCGCCTGTCAGCGGGGCTGCACTGCCTCCCCTCCTCTCCATCTCCTCCCCAGGAGGACCAGGGCTCTGTAAAACACCCCAAAATCAGCTGCACCACACACCCAGGAGGTCTGGTCAAGGGGCTTCGCTCAGACTTTATACACTTGTCTTTCACAGCTGAAGACGTCTGCTCTAGACCTTTGAAATAAATTTCACCACAGTGCTTTTCACCTTTTTTTTTCTTTTTTCTTTTTTTTTTTTTTTCCATTTTTAATGACTACTGGATGTTTTGAATTGTCCTACTGGCAGTGCAAGTTTATTTTATTTTATGAGGTAACTCATATCTGGGTTAATATTCACTGTGCAGAGGATTTTGTGTCCTCAGCCCCAGGTCTTCCAGAAAGGGTCTGTGGTGTACCCTGGTTTCTACCATTCCTGGGAAACTAAACAATGCCAAGTGAGCATCATTACTTTGGTTAAGTTGTATTATTCAGCTTTTTTTTTTTTTTTTTTTTGGTACTCTGATTATATTTGTGAGTCTCAAGCATCTCCCTGCTGTACTGAGAAATACTGGAAGATGTGTCAGAAAGACAGAATCTGAGGAATTTTAACTCTTCACAGCCCTTTCACAGTTCAAAATGGCTCTGAGCATCAGAGGCATGATAGTGGTGGGTTTTCCTGCCCAGTGGTACACTTTGTCCCAGCTTCTGTCTCCTTCAGGGTGTCCCAGGAGGACAGCAGGCTTTGATTTCTGCTGTCTCTCCTCCGGGGAACTCCCTTTGCCCCTCTGGGGCTGTGACTCATTTCCTCCCCATGGCTCATCTCATCCTGTCTGCTGCCAGAGCTTACAGCTCCCTCTTCCTCTCTGCAGCAGCAAAACTTGTTAGAAAAACAAGAGAATCCATCACATTTTTGGAAGTCTTGTCCCTTTTCCTGCAGCATATAGAGAACCTTGCCTGTAAGGCTCTTTTTGTAGTGTGACATGTAAGGAAAAGTGAGAGGAAAAATCCAGTTTTTTGCATGTAAAGCCATTTTATATTCCTGT